TTTTTTTTTTTTTTTTTTTTTTAAAGAGAGTACAAGCAATTGAGTTCAATAGGACACTGTTAGATAAACGCAGTGATAGGCTGCAGTTCTGGCTTTGTATAAAGTAATATGCCTTTTAGGCACTTGGCACTGTTAATATTACTGTTTTGTGCAAGAAGAAATATATATTTATATAGTTATTCATCCTTGAAAAAGCTCATCATATTTGTAGAATCCGTAGTGACAAGTCTGTATTTAAAAACTTAAGACAATGGAGCATTTGCTTATACTGTTTAAACAACTCTTTTGACTATACTAGACAAAATCTTCCGGTTTTGTTCAGGTAAGCTAATTAAAAGAAAACCGTAAGGATGGTCTGACCTCACAGATGCTTGCGCACGGGTTTTGGTTTCTTCTGTCTCTCTCCTTCAACGTGTCTGCCTATAAGCGAAGCATGGGCAAAAGTTGTTACAGAATTGGGTCTTACTGTACCAAGTTATTAGAAAATTTAAAAGGATGCCCTGAAAGTACCGGAAAACCTATGGAAATGCATAATTGCAATGATTGCTTCTTCTCCCCATTGTTCTGTATCTTTTCCCTTATATACCATATTGCATATTAAGTTTTATAGAGCACTGATTGTTGTTTTGTAGAAGCATGCTCCTTGCAAGTAGTGATATCCTTAGTAGATGTCGTACAGTCTCGAATGATGTTTTCTTTGGGAGGACAAAATCCTATTTGGGAGGAAATCACCCCCTCTTAAGGGGGCTTACAAGGGGGGTGATTATAATGGCAGAAATTGTTGGTATCAGTGTTTAGAATTGTTGTACATTTTCTCATCCTATGAGTGCATACATGTATTTACAATAGGGTTTTCTGTTGCATTTGCTTAAAAAAAAACCCCACTGAGCTAAAAAGTTTGAAAGGAACAGCTTGAGGAATTTTTTCCATCAAGATACAATCAAGGGCAGGAAATCGTAGAAGCAGAGTTGTGGTTTTGCCTCCATTTTTTTATTAGTTAATTAAACTATAACAACGCTTAACTTCATTTTAGGTTAACTGTTCCTAGAGTTCAGAAATATTTTAAGAGGTCAATAATGCTTTCTTTGGCTTTCGCTCATTCGGTGTGGGATAAGGAGTCGCAGTCAGTAGGGCAGAGTTTTCCAGATGTGCTGCAGAGCGTGTGTGCGTGCGTTCATGTCGACAGTTGTTGACGGTGGGAAACCATCCATCTTTCCTCATCTGTGCACCACCCTGTACGGATGAAAACCACAGGAAAGCAACGTGGATAGCCTGACATCTGTAAGCGAACTTACAGTATCTGATTAAAGCTCAGGAGCCCCGAGTACTTGCAGCTACCAGTTGACACGCATTTTTACTCGGTGATGGAGAGGTGCTGAGTCTGAGTGAGAGCACTGGGGGAGGGGGAATCCAAAGGGAAAAATTTGAGACGATAGGTGTGTATTTAGTTTTGCCAGAAGCAAAAAAAAACCCCAAAGACTCCATTGTACATTGCAGCATGGGTTTTCTCTGTGAAGTTGTGTTGTTTCTTCTTTAAAGTGCCGTGAGGCATCTGTCTGCGTTTTCTTCTTGGCGTGTAGAGCTGCTTAGAGGCGTGCGCTTAAAGGGCATATGAGGGAAGCAAACAGAGCCATGCAAGTGTCACATAACTGTCTTTAATAACGGGAGCTATTCCAGCACTCGGAGCCAAATCATCTTTCAGCAGAAAGGTTAAAATTTAGCAGAGCTGGGAAAGGGAAAGAAGAAAGGGGAGGGGAAACACAGCACCACCTCCTGCTGACACCACAGAAGTTTCCCTCAGCTTTCCCTCTCTCTCCCTCTGTGCATATATTTTCTTTTTAATCAGCTGGGGCTCTTCCCTCCCCTGCTTTTTTTTTTTTACTGTATTTTTATAGTTGGAATTCTGCTTTCCTAATTTCTCTTGTTTCACGTTTAACTTCTTCAGAGAATTTCATTAATAGTTACTGCAATTACAAATAATAAATAAACTCAGCTCCAGCTGCTCAAATGGCTGTCATAGCATATCTGGAACATAATGCAGTCTGTTCAGGGCAGCCACACAATGCAATTTATCCCCACACCAAGGGAATGAATTTCACAACTATAATTGCTACAATATAATTCTTATTAATGTTGTGCTATAATTCCTATTAATTCCAAAGGGCTAGTAAATGCATTAGGACTTGTCAACATATTATTTTACACTGTTTATGATCTGTAGAATTACGCTCTTCAGTATTGTATTGCATAAAAAAAGCCTTAAAATTAGCTTTAATTGCGGGGGGGGGGAACCACATTTTCTGTTCGGGCACTGGGAAAGAAGGAAGGATCCTGGTGTTTGAGGAGTAATGAAACTGCATTTTAAAATCAGTCCTTTGAACTTTCTGTGCCACACAGTTAACAGTTTGTGATAATATATTAATAATGCTTGTCCTGCTTATTAGAAAAAGAACCACTGGTGTCTTTATGAAGGAATAAATAACTATAAGAAAGATAGGTTTATAAAATTAAAAATCACTGTCTTCCAGCAAAGCCAAAAGTGGGGAAATTACAAGTCATTGTAACTGATGTAATAAATGCAGAATGTGTTATCTTGCTGTGCTCTTATTTGTTCTTGTTCTATCTATCTCACTACCCCGCTTTTCTAGGTAGCGAATACGATGAGGAGGAAGTAGACTATGAAGAATCAGACAGTGATGAGTCCTGGACTACAGAAAGTGCTATCAGCTCTGAAGCTATCCTTAGTTCAATGTGCATGAATGGAGGGGATGAGAAACCTTTTGCCTGTCCTGTTCCTGGATGTAAAAAAAGATATAAGGTAAGCAGTAGTGCAGACCTATCGTATTTCCTGCTGATGTAGTCGCGGGGGGGAAGCGTCTAAAATCAATTTGTACCTTTCTTGTTCAATAGACTTTCACATTTATTTCTGTGGTATTTTAGCAGAGTACATATTTTATTCACTGGTTTCCTCTCAAGCACAGCCAAGTTACCAGTTTTACAAAGGATGTAGCCTTTTGCATCCCTGTCTGTCAAGAGAGATTACATATAGTGACTCTTTTGCTTTACACATTTTAACTAGCTTTCTATTATTTAGACAAATTAACTGCAGAATGCAGGAGATACTACCAGCAAAATAATCTCTTGGGTCCCTTTCTGAGACACTAAATAAAAAGCTTCTGCCCATCAGTGCCAGAATTAATTCCTTCTGCTTAACTGCTAGAGACTGCCTCTCCTTTAGTGAGACTGTGCCCACGGAGGGTACTTTTCCTGGTAAAGGTGATATGCGGAAGGTGGTGGTTAACGTTTTGCAAGTCAGAGGTCACCTCGGGAAGGCAGAGCCTCGGGGAAATTCTGGCATCGTTCTGTCCTGGGTCTGAGTCCCCATGACCCGTCTACACAGCCGTCAGTGTGTCTGGCCCCGTGTGCAGGGCTTGCATCCCTCTGTGTGACATGCTGTGAAACAATTTCCCCCCCCCTTTTTTAGTTACTCTCCATCATGAAAAATTTTTGTCTGTTTATGGGAATGAAACATCTCTAACTTTGAACCTTGAGCTGGCTGGTATAGAACATGCCGTGATTTTGCGAGGAGAGGAGTATTGCTTCACGTGAACCGGTGCAGGGACAGATAAAATTGTATTGAGCAGCTTGGACTTCAGTATGGTATTCTATAGTCATTGAAATTTGGGAACAGAAATAGCATGTTAGCACAGTTCCTCCAAATCATTTTCTGAAGTTTTTGCATGAAGTACTGGAAAATTCAACCACTGACCTATACCCTAGAAAAAGCAGTGGTGGTTGGGTTGGTTTTATACTAGTTTTATTTTATGGCTTTTCCTTTAAATAACTGAAAAGTAGGGACTTAAAAGAGAACAGAAATATGAAAGAGAAATATAGGAAGACCAATAACATTTGAGATAAAACAGTTGTGACAAGAATGAATAAACTGTGCATGAAATCGTGTAGTAGACAAAAACATGTTTCAGTGATGCTGCAGCTGCTCTGAACGGCAGCAGCTCCCATAGCAGCAAATCACAAGACTGGGACTCCTATACAGATCAGTTAATACTGACAATACTTACTTAAAACATGAGCAAGAAAGCAGCGTGCTTATTTCTTAGTGACGTACAAGTCTTTTTTTGCAGAGATTAGCCTTAACTATGTAATGTTTATTCTCTTCAGTTACAGGAAAAACTGAACAGCACCTCCAGGGGCAGGGCAGAGGGAAAGATGTTTTCAGACTATTTGCAAGTATTACTTTGCAGATGTACCCACATTATTCAAGATTAATACTTTTCTGGTGTGTGGTAGAAGCTGTGCCAGATGAAGGGTATAGTATAAAAGCTAAATCCCTAGCTCAGGAAACAAACAAGCCGTGGCGATTGTTAGAAGTCACTGTGCCCACAGGGCATCTATGCATTGCAGAAAACATGCACTTAATGGCAAAGGCTAGGAGGAGAACCCTGTAATTTGCTATATCCTGTCTGTTCTCTGTTTGACTGCCAGCCCTCTGTCTTTTTATTGCCCAAATAAGCAAGCTGTTTCTGCCTGCTTCTGCTATCTCACTACCTTCATCTCAAATGCATGAGGACTGTCTAAGGGATATCTTGTACACCATTAATGTTAGAACAGTCGGACAGGGAACAAATTAACAACCTTTAGAGAGGCTGACAGACAGAGAGCAGCAGCAAATAAAAAGTACCGTATTTTCCTAAGAGACTCACCTCTGTTTAGTCCTGATAGGAAAATACATTTCCTTAAACTCTGCCTCACCTCGTTTCTCTTTTCTGTGGACTCTGTTTCCTCCCTTTTTTCTTTTGAGCCTAATTTTTTTTCTTTTCGCATTTTTATCTTTGTTTCCTTCCTTTTAGCTTTGTGTCAGCTGTGTTTCTTGTTTCCTCTTCATCTTCCTTCTGCTTAACCCCCTCCTCTGATGAATTATTTGCGGAATCTGGGTAGGGAGTCCTGTGATCAAAGCACGAGGATTTTCTGGTGGGTACTGAATAATCACAGTCAGGGCTGTAAAACAATTAGAGAGCTCCAAACAGGAACACGGACATGCACATACAGTAATTGCCAGGCTCACTTTACGGCTGAGAAAGGATGCATTCCTTTAGGGAGCGAGGAGGAAAGGAGAATATACACAGTTTTCTTTTGTCTGGCCTTAGGTGACGTACGTTTGAGAAGCAGAAATGTTATTTTTAGATGTGTTATTTGTATTACAGTACAGCTTAAAGGGCCCAGTAGGGATGGGGCTCCTTTTTGCAAACAATGTACAAGGATAAAAGATGGCCTCTGCGCTGAGAAGTCATTATGGAAAGGTAAATAAGACAAAAATGAGTACAACAAATACTCCCAAGGAATGGGCTGGGGCGGACAGTGGAAACTGTAACGAGAACATGTTTATACACAAGCCCAGATGAATATCAGAAGACCCTACTGGCCTCCTGCCCAGCTGCTATCTCTTGGTGGTTTCCCATAGGCAGTGCAGTAGAAGTGAGTCATAAACATTTAGTTGTTCTTCAGGAACTTTATGGGTTTTTAAGAAGTAAAATTGCTTGCTTATAATATGTATTGGTACTCTATATAGTATGGCACAGATTTTCTGGAGGAGCCGAAGATTTGGGGGGGGGGGATTTTAGTGACATGTAAATTTGTTTGTGCGGTAGTCAGAAACAGCTAAATGAATCTGGAGCACACTGTCTTCTAGATGCTTAAAACACAAGCCTCTCAACGAATTTCTGAAGCTTGCTTTCTTCTTATTATGGTTACTGACCTAGAGAACAAATTATAAGTATTTTATAGTTTGCCATTTATGGATTTTTTTTTCTTCATACGATTTGTATTTGATGCCTTAAATTTGATTTTTAGAAAATCATCTGCATGATTCAAAGGAACCCAAAGATCTTAGCCTTGTTTCTGTGGAGTTCAGCCTGACCAGATTTTGGATTTACATCCACGTTTAGATGCCCTGTCCAGAAGTGTGCGGGTATTGAGTAGTTAACATGCTTTGCAAAATGCCACCTGTAGGAGCTAAAGTGTGGATCTATGAAGGTGGCAATTAGTTTTCCTTTTATTCAGTACCACCTATGTGTGCCAGTTATTTGGTCTCTAGCTCTGGAGAAGGACATTCAAAATGTGTGTATGATGTAGATAAACTTATTCAGGCAACTTCCAAAGAGCAAATGAAGTTTGATACATAACAGATAGATACAAAAAAACCCCACAAATAATGCATATATACTATTATAGAGAAAACCCTAGAGTATTTGTCATAGTTTTTCTAGTTTGTGCGAATACAATAATAGAAGAATAATGTATTTCCATGCATACAAAATGTAGCTTACATGCATGACTGCTTTTTGGCCTTGGGCACGAGGAGAAGTGGTACCTTCCAAGAATGCCGAGGCATTGGGCTTGTCTTTCTGGCAGGTAATGGGACGAGGGTCCTAGGCCTGTCGGGTGGGGCAAACCCCCGGGAAGGCTGATCTAAGAGCAGTGAGACTTGGCAGAGCTTTGGGAGGAAGAATATTGAAGTGAGAGAGGGGAAAAAGGGAATTTACTTGAAAGAAAGGAGCAAGCCAGAGCTTGCAAGCTGAGCAAAGAGGAACTGGACCCACAAAGAAAACTTCAGGAGGTACAAAAACATACATGAATGTCCAAGAAATCCTCCCAAACCATCCTTGACGTCTCTTCCTACTTGAAGGGGGTGGCAAGCTCTCTGCAGTCTAGTGGCTTCGTGAGTACTGCCGTGCAAGGGGCCCTGCCCAGCAAGTGTCCTTGTGTCCGTGCAAACCAGGTAGTGCCAGTCTAAACTTCTCTATCTCCTCCTGATCTGGTCCCAGGTTAATAATTGTTTCCTCCCGTTTAAGATTTTGGAGTGCCCTTCTATACTGCCATCTTCTTCCTCAATCATTTGTGAGAGTAAATAATGAGCAACCTAAGTAACCAGAGCAATAAAAGTGATGTATGAGTTTGGCAGTGGGTTTTGCCATACCTCGACAAACTCAGCCCAGACGTACAACAAAGTGTTTACATTACAGCAGTGGAAAAAAGTGCTGAAGAGTCAACTGTAATTCTACAAACATTTTTTTTTTAGACAGGAGGTTTAAGATTTTGGAGTGCCCTTCTATACTGCCATCTTCTTCCTCAATCATTTGTGAGAGTAAATAATGAGCAACCTAAGTAACCAGAGCAATAAAAGTGATGTATGAGTTTGGCAGTGGGTTTTGCCATACCTCGACAAACTCGGCCCAGACGTACAACAAAGTGTTTACATTACAGCAGTGGAAAAAGTGCTGAAGAGTCAACTGTAATTCTAACAACAGTTTTCTTTTAGACAGGAGTACAGGTCAAATTTCATGTTATACTAGCTCCTCATACTCCACGTGGTTTACTATTTTTCAAACCTTCCATGGCCCAATTCATTCCACGTAGGTTTCTGGTTTAGCATTTCCTTAAATTTTTCTGCCTGAAAGTACTTTTCCCCCTTCATCAAAGCGCGTGGTGTACTTGAGGCTGAGTGGATCGTTAAAAAATCTGGATCAGGAGAAGAGTACCATTGGCATGGCTATTTGATACTGGTGAGGATATTTGTGATTGCGGGTTTATGGTATCTGTAGCAATTGATACTAGTTTAAAAGTATCTTAAAGTGATTTCTTACAAAAATTAAAAGTCTAAACAGGTTTCTGTAGTTTCCAAAATATATATAGGGTTTGGGAGTAGCTTTGTTTTTAAAATTCCACTGCAGTAGCAAGAGTTTAGCAGGTCACCCCTGGATTTTCTCTTCTTTGAAGGCGCAGGTCCTTAACGGTACTTTAGGTGTTGACAGATGCCTTATGACAGTCCTCATGACATCCAGTGACATTCCCGGCCTCCCTGCCTCAGTGGTCCTGCGGGTGCTGAAGGTTGTAACTGCATGCAAAAGCATCTAAAAGCTGCCTCAGGATCTCGGATAACTTGCAGGGAATTCACTTGGCTGCTCTTGAGGATGATTTGTAGCTTTGATGTGCTCTTGTCTGTCTTGGTGGTACGGCATTCTGCCTCCTCTGAATACTCTTCACCCAGAAGTAACCTGCCCTAAAGGCTCGTATTCGTATGTCTGGTTTGTCTTGGAGACTGAAGATTCTCGTCTCCCACATCTCAGACGACAGCTGTGTAGGAGTTGTCCGGTATTTTTAAGGATGTAAAGGACAATTTGGGGGCTGGACTTGGGACTTCAAGCGAGGATTCAGTGCCTGGATGCTCTAGAGGAGAGAAGCATGAATTTGTGGGCAAAGCAGTTGCTTGGAGTCTTGCACCGTACCCTTTTTCCAGGGTGGATATTTTAGGCTAAGTTTTTCTTTCCTAAAGGATTGCCACAAATCATCCAGACACCCAGGCTGCCCCGAAATGCCACTTCAGCGGTACAGACTCCACTGGGCATTACAAGTTCTGACGAGAGCAGTACCACGCTCAACTTTATGATTGAAACCGGAGAACTGTTTTTGCTTAAAGATTTAAAATACACTGCTGCCGTGGCACAGCTAACGTGTAATAAATAACGACCAGCATTTTACATTGTAAGGTGAGAACACCGTAGCTATCTGGGAGACGGGGCGGTTTCTCTCGCAGTTACACTCCTCCCTACTTCCCCGATGGGAGCAGTGAGTTCCTTATCCTTCTTTTGCTTGCTGTTGTGAGCTGTGGTTAGAGCAGGGCAGTGGAGGGCAGCACGCAGGGGGACTGTCTCTCTCAGGAGTGGGACGTAACACTTGAGATTCTGACTCAGAAGAAGTCGGAGGAGGCGGTAGGGGAGGAGAAAGGGAGGTGTTGGCCCAAGAGTGGTATTGAAGGTGTTAACCTCGTGCCTCTCTGGGGTTTGCGTTCTGATGTATATAGAGTCTTCCGAAGTTTTAGGAGTTGTAGCTCTGTTCTGTTAACTGAAGGCTTTTTCTTTTTCCCCTTTTTTTTTAAACAAATTTTCTAACTTGTCTAATCGCTGTGAGTTCCAAGCTGGAGCTTCCTCTTACTGTAAGCTGCATGTTGATAAAACTAAACTTGCTGCTTAAAAAGAGCCAAGGGGACTTTTGTTATGTGTAACACCAGGCAGTGGTTCAGCAAAGACAAAATCCCTGAAACTTTAATTTAGTGGGTTAATTAATATCCATGCTGTTAATTGAATATTTTGTCTTTTTTTTAATAGTTTAAAAAAAACCCTGAGATACATATCTGGAAACTTTAGAGAGGACACAGTAGAGCCTCGGAGCTGTGCCTTTGTCACAAATTGTCTTGGCATCTTTTTTCTTCCTAGGAGAAGCTCTAATGAAAGACAGTTTGCCTTTTCTCATTTATCCAAAATCCAGGCTCTTTTAGTGGAAGCAGGTAAGAGAGACTCCAGTAAGATGAATCCTAGAGAAAGCGGTGTCACATACTAGTGAGACCACCACAGCTTCTTCCCCTTCTGCCAGGAAGAGGTGAAGAAGAGGACAGGGGTATGATTTTGATGTATGTTTAGTAAGGTTCTTGATTAATCTAGCAAAAGTGTTGCCTGTTTCCTGACTGTGCCAGTATAAGGGTAAGTGCGCTGTGGTGCTGGTTTTTTTGTTCTTTCTCCCCAGACTACAGTGGAGATGAGTTCTCTAGTTTTAGCTGTAGAATATTCCCAAACGATAGCTGTTTTGAAGGCGGCTTCTCTGGATTACTTTCCGAGTGCCCTGTGTAACTCTTCCAAAGTTAAAGCGTTCCCTGCAGTTAATTCTTGGAGACAATGTGTAAACTATCAATCAGAATTTGCTGGTGCCTAAAGATGTATCTAGAAACAATGACACAAAACGGAACAAACGCACCATGGGGGGGGAGCTTCAGCTTTTTGAAGAAGCGTGGCTCGAGTCTTCATGCCAATTCTTTGTTTGCTTGTTAAATGAACCTCTGAGTAAAATTTGTCAATGTTATACAAAGAAAAACATCTCTGTGTGAGCAAAGAACATCTCTGTGTGAGCCCACTAAATGGTACTTTTTGGAAAGTACGTTGGGAGATAAAAATCAGTATTACCCAGGTAGGCAAATTTCATGCATTAGAACCGCAGAGATTATTCTCCTTCTTGTCCCACCTCGTCTCTTGGAAGCCCAACACATGCGTAACACCTAGCGGGAGCTCCTAGCAACTTGTGTGATTTTGCCCGTGACGTTAATGGATTTTTGGTTTTTTAACAGGAAGCCGAGCCATTATCAGACCACTTGACCACTAACATTTTACTTTTTCACTCACAGAATGTGAACGGTATAAAGTACCATGCCAAGAACGGCCACAGAACGCAAATCCGCGTCCGCAAACCATTCAAATGTCGCTGTGGAAAGAGTTACAAGACAGCTCAGGGCCTGCGGCACCACACAATCAATTTCCATCCCCCCGTGTCTGCTGAGATTATCAGGAAGATGCAGCAATAACATGCTGGTCACAAATGTGCCAAGAAATCCTCACCAGCAGTTGCTGATTTTGAGAACAGCCACCTTTTTCAGGGGAAGCATTCAGCAACCCTTTCAAAAAATTAAATGCATGCTTTAAAATTTTCTGTAATTTTGGAATGATGTATCTTTGTAGAGTTAATGATTTTGTACATTTGCACATGTAATCATCATACCCATTTTCATTACTTTGAGATAAGGTGCTATAAAAGCTATAGGTTCTTCAGAACATTCTTCTCCAAAACGAGAAAAAAAATTAGGGGGGCGTTGCGTATTTAGTTGTACTGAAGTGTTGAACAGGAGTGAGAGGAGGAGCGCTTGGCACTGACATCCTTTCGAGATTGTAACGCGATGACGACTTTCAATGCATCTGTCAATGTGCGTGCAAAACCAAAACAATACCACCCTCGTCAAACTCTAGTTAACATGCCTTACATAATGGAGTTATCAGTGGAGTAGCAAGTCTTTTAGGTAATGGAAATATAAATAAGAAAGAATGTTTAACATAATATGCTAAAAATATTTTCATACTTAAATAACATACATAAAAAGGTGTGCTTGCTGTATTTTATATTATCCTGCGAATCTTTTTTTCCCCCCCCTCTGGAAATGCTGAAAATCTTGCCATTTGAACTAGTAAACAATCACTTTAGCGTTAGAAATTACTACTTTTTTTTTGTACGAGATGTCATCTTATGTTCATGCCCATCAAACTTTTGAGGACCAAGATCCCAGTCCAACTAAATACTTACCCCTGAGCTATCTGTTAGAAAGACACTTGGAAATACTTAAGTGCAAATTTGTGTGTGTGTGAGAAACAATTATCTTCATCTCAGATGAAGTTTTAAAGCACTTTGTAGTTCTCTATTGCCAACAGATTTAATGTTTTATGTGTTGCCAATTCTTGCAACTACTGTACGAGCATGTGCCTGTGGTTGCAAATAAAAATTAACAATTCTACGCATGGTTTGAGGAGGTCCATTATTTGTGCTAAGGGAGTTTCTAATGCCTCTCCCTCACGTTCATTGTATTTTGAGATTTTCTTTGTGCCTTTTTTTTTTTTTTGCTTCTGGTTGTAGGTCACTGCATTCCATTTGGAAGTGTCTGTTTAGCTTTACAATTCATTTTGCTGACATATGAGCCTTACTGAAGATTAAGTGCTTCTTGCAGCAGATGGTCAGAGACTGACTTAAAACAAAAGCCAACATGAGAGCGCTTCGTGTCTGGACCATACCTGAACATTTGTTGCTTACCATCCTGCCTTGAGCGTTCTTCTCTCACAAGTGCTATTCTTGGCCCCGCCCCAGCCCCGAAACACTTCCTACAGGGTGAGGGTTAGGGAGGAACTCCCCCACGTTAAACAGCAATCGCCTTTGCTTGGTTCCTGTTCTTCTAAGGGCAAAAGGCAGCTCAAATAAAGGAGGAATGAGCTTTCCCTCCCCCCCCCAAAGCTTTAAAGGCAAACTTTGTCAGGATGACAATTAGCCATTCTCCAGCAGAGCGAAAGTCTCGTTAAAACACTTAGGAACCATCCTAATGACTAAGCGTTTAGAACACCCGAACTGAAACAAAACATCCCTTTTTCAAATCCTAGAGAGGCGACAGTGGTTGTATCGTACAGTGCTGTCAGCTGGGTTTAAAGGATGATCCAGACATGAGTTACTGGCCCACAAGGGGCCCCAGGTGGCCGCTTCCTACTTTCCGCAGTTTGGCAACAGATCTGGCCAACAGCTACGTTTTGGCTCTGCTCCTAGTGCAAGAAACGACAGGCTGGGTAAGTTCGTTCAACAGCTAAACAGTCGTAAAACGTCATTGTTGCATGTAAATTCCTTTCAACTATGAAAATGGAATTCCAGTTTCTATTTACCTATTCATTGTGACAGTATTATTAAACAGGTAAAGATGGGACTATTTTGTTATACTGTGTATAGTGAATGTATTGTACTGTGTCTGTGAAAAGTGTGCTTTAAATTATATTTTCATATGTTTTGTTGGGGACAAAGTACTTTAAGTTTGAAAGTGACAGAGGTTTGTTTTAGAACTGAAGGCAACTTAAAGAATTCCTGTCAAGAAAGCTGCTTATAAATGTAAATCAAATCACATTTAAAATAAACTGCCTCTGACCTAAAAAGACTGCTCTTTACTCGTTACTAACCTGAAGAGTTCAGTTCTTGGGCTGGATGTACTCTTTTATTTGGGTATTTTACTTTGGTATCATCAAACTCTGTATTCAATAAACACCTGAAGCAGCTGAAGCACTACCCCATTAATGCCCAAAATGACACAGAATGCTACAGCCTGGAGAAACAAACAAACAAACAGGAGTATTTTGACTTCATCAGTCAAAAGGACATCAGATTTCACGGGCTCTTTCCTTCCACCATGGCAAGAGGGCTCAGGTTACCAGATAAAATTGGTACGGATGCCACAGAAGCCCCCTTTTATGGGTAGGACAGGGGTTACCTTTCTTCTAAAGGTTTATCAGAAATGTAAACCTTTCTCTTATAAAAAGAGAAATCATTGAAATTTTAAAATTCAGCCAGGCTGCGGTAGAGGCATTTGGCTTCTGTCACATACCTACAGACTCACTGGGTGGGTGATTTTAAGCAGCCATGTCAGGGTGGCTATTTAACCGGGAAACTTTTTAAGTAATTCCCCATATATACACACATCTAAGAGAAGTCCCTGCTTTGGCACAATCGGCTTTTGAGGTTGTCCTGCCTGTGTGAGATGCCAACCTCTGAGACTTCCTAAGTCTTTAATAATACAATAACTACTAATATTTTGGTTTTATAGCCTGTTCTAACTGTTCTCATATGCTGTCGAGTTACGGTAAGAAAAAAAAATTGCCACAATATTCTTTTGGAAATTGCCATTTCCATGCCTTACCTCAGACCATCTCTTGACATGAAGTTCACAGTTCAAAAAAAAAGAATAATCTCAGACTTAAAATGGACCACGGGGACTGATGTAGTAGCTGCTGCCCAAGCCACTGCGATTTATCCATGCCATCCAGCTTTTAATAAATCCTGCCCTGAACAGGATATTGCACGTGTTCAGGAGAGAACTGCAGCCAACAGAAGCTACTCAAAACCTTAATCCCCGAGTCTCTCTCTCAAACGAAGACCATAAATAGATGCGAGCAACAGTTTCTTTGTCATACAAAGCTGAAACATCGTTTACTGTAACTATGTACAGCCTAAACTCTGTTTTATTTCAAAATGAGCAGCAGGAAAAAAGGACCACCGACTCCATGAATAATTTTGCTTTTAATGTAACAAGGCTGCTGTACAACAAGTGGAAAGCAAATTTACGTAATGCAGTTAAAGTAAATATAAAATGTTTAGATATACACACATGTTTTTACTTACTGGAAAGAAATACATGAAGTTAAAATGCAGAAGGTTTTAAAAGCCCTAAGCCAACAGAACACAATTCACTGTTGGGAAAATATAACAATATTTTCTACTGGATGCAACTGCAACATAACAGCAATGATTTCTCTTTTTAAACAATTACTTATAGGCATTTAAGCAGAGCAGTTTCTTTCAACTCAAAAATACTGCCTTAAGGTACAACGTACCTAATTCAACATTATCCCTTAAGGCAAACGTTCTATATGTAAAACTGAAGTATTTGCCACTCCTTTTGTTGCAAGCATGTAATCTCACAGTACATGCATCTACATTTCAGAAATGTACTAGAAAACTATATTTTCATAGGGTAAGTAACATAACTTTCCGATTTAACTGTTACTCAAAGAAAAACTACACAAATTTGCTAGGAGAAACATCTGTTTATTACATTTTTAATCATGCCTCAGTTACTGCGGTCCAGAGAAACCCGAGGTGTTTTGGTGGCATTTTTATGTAGCTGAAGAGCATCGTGAAGCTGGTCTCATTTTTTCTGAGGCCAAGTCATTCCCGTGTCCTTACAAATTCCACTAAGTAGGGGAATAAATAGCTACATACACGACAAGGTGGGGTTTTGCGGGGTTTTTTTTTTTTAGTATAAGGTTAGGTAGAGAGAAAAGATAACCCAATAGCAGCTTACAGCCGCGATTTATCACGGCTCCCATTAGAGTACGTTAGCTTTTAATCAGAAGTTTGCACTGTTACAGAAAAGCTGCACTGCTGCTGTTCCGTAGGTGGACCACTCAAAGTTGTGGGGTTTTAAGCTACGCTGCAAAACAAAGTATTTAATCAAAATTTAATACGTTCTGATCAAAGTGCGTCTGAACATGCCTCTCAAACCCTTGCTGATCATAGTCAGGCGGGAACTGCTCACTGCACATGGGGCACACCTTCCAGTGACTCTCAACGTGTTCCTCAAACTTGCTCTGATCGTAGTTGGGTGGAAACATCACATCGCAAAGCGGGCATTTCTTGTGCACGTCAAAACTGCCAGAGGAGGGGGAGAGAAAGAAAAAAAGGAAACAGTCATTTAATCGGTTATTGCAAAAGAAAATACAAAAGTAGGATCCTGTTGCCACCCACGTCAAGAGCTTTACTACAAACTTAAATGTGAGCAGACTTCGTATCTAAGCAAGTATTGTATTTAAACGTCTTCGCTGAAAGCGCTCGATACAGTTAAAGTAGTTTAACCCAGGAATTCCAAAATAAGCTGGCATTTTAAAAGCGACATAGTTTTGACATCATTCCAGCTACCACTGAACACAAATCTATTGAATGTCTTAATGGCCAAGCGGTTTCATGGGAAACCACTCTCTCTGCTCATAAATGCTTGCTCTTAGCAAACATAACACTTTATAAAAGCTCTAAACTTCGGTTCACAATTAGGTTGGAAAGAGAGGGGAAAAAACAAAAGGTATTCATTCATTTACTGAAGAAATTGTCCACATTCCGTCAAAGTAAGGTATAACACAAACAGTCCGCCCAGTCTAACGGCGTATTCTCTGACAGTTAATTGTAAACCAAACATTCACTGAAAACGCTGAACAGTTTTTCACCTCCACCCCCCAGCCTTGAGTACAAAAGTCCCGTTACCTAGAAACCTACCCATGCCACTGAAGACCAGTAAAAGGTAACATTTACCTGGAATCAAAGCAGAAACCTGTTCCACGTTCATGCAAGAGAAGACTTGGAGGGTCAGGAGCAGAAGGTACAGCGTTGTCATCATCCTATTAAAAAAAAAAAAAGGAAATGTTTGAAATAATACCCACTAGAAACAGCTTTTTTCTTTCCCCTCCAAATACATTTTTGTTATCAAGCATAAACGTGGCTGAAATTTACCTTTCGTTTCATAATCCCTGCAGCGTCCGTTTTACTTCAGTGTACAAAAGGAGAGGTGGTTAATGAACACGCAAAGCTAAACGCAGACTGCCTTTTGACCACGTACCTAGAGCAGAAATCTGCGCCAGCACTGCTAGAATGCTTCTACTAACAGAGTAACTAAGGAGATGCAGGTCACCTCACTGTTAACGCCTGGGGGCCAAGTCGGAACAGAAAAACCCGTGTTAAGCCGAATGCAGGGCATCGCACTACAGACCACAGTAGCATTGTATCGAGAGCCGAAAACTCAAATTCTAGACAACAGAATGTCAAGTCACACTTTCAAAATCTGTCGATTTAAATTTCAGCAAGGGGGGGGGAAAAAAAAAAAAGACACTGCTGTCCACACGCTTGCCTCCCGACGGTCAGTTCTGAGCGATCTGCCTGCGCTGCTCTCGCCAGCCAAGCATGTCACACGTTCCACGCTGCCGTCGGGCACATCAGCTAAATTGCCCCGTTCGGCTGCTTCCTCTTGTCAGCTCTGGCAGTTGCACTCTCCCTTCACGCACACTAACGGCACATAAATAGCTGCAGCGGGCACTGAGGAGGATCGCTCTGCTGACGGACAAGCGGGTTTGCCTCAGAGCTTCTATCAGGTTAGGAAGGCAGGTCGGCCTCTAGGGAATATGCTGCTCCTCGCTTCTCAAAAGAAGAAAGAAATCTGCCCACAATGGGAAATTCTCAAGCAGGAAAATGAAGAGTACCTACAGTGGTTGGATTCCAAGAGTTCCCCCTCTGACAAGCAAGGGGTCAGAGCACTTAGTTCTGCAGGTTTTTGGGTTGTTTTTTTTATTCCATGATGACATTATTATGAATTAAGATTTAAATAAGCACAGTGATGTAAGCAAACACTATTAGGGGAAGAAAACGGCACAAAAGGGAAGTAAGAAAGCAGGAAGAAAACCAGAACTGTGTTTGTAAACGCATTCTTTATGCAGTGCAGAACTATTCATCATACAGCATCTACATATACATATTCTGCTATTAGATAACGCAGCACAAAACCTACTCATTTCAAGGTGGGAACACAGGTAAATTCAGCAAGATTTTGGAACTCCAACTCCTAGTTCATTTTCCTTTTCATCTCAAAGACGCCTTACATGCGAGAATTATGAATTATCCAGCAGGTCTTCAAAAATGGATGTGCAAGGGACCATATGTAACAGCGTAATGCTGCCTGTTTTATCCAAGTAACTAATATGTATATTCAAACGTATTTCATTTTTAGGCTAACATACTCGGTCCTTATGAAGAGTTAATGGCAACAGGGCAGGAAGGGAAGATTCCCTCAATATTTTTCTTCTGACAACAGCTGTTTAGTTTCAACCATTTAACATTTCCATTAAGCAGCTAGTGGGGCTTGCTGTGACAGATGCTAGCAACAGACATATTTTCCTGTCTAACTGGCTTGCTTTGCACCTGCAGTAAAAAGGGCATATGGGTTCTAAAATATTATTTGTTCCTTTTGTCACGGAAGAGGTAGGATGTATGTATTAAAGAAGAAAAACTATGTAAAGTACTCTCGTGCTACAATGCTACAGCTTATATAGTGCCAAAAACACAACAGATTTGCTGAACAGCAGACCAGGACTTACCTGAGAAAATGAGTGTGCATCTTCCTTCAAAAAAATAGTTCCACTACAAACACAGGCCTAATTAACATTTAAATCCTTTAGAAAAGACTTTCTTACAATTCTTTACTATTTGTCACTCGGTTCTTCTTGAACCCAGGGCATTTTTGTCACAGCACTTATTAATACTTGGTTACAAGTGACAAGGTGGACGAGGTACTTCCCTGGTGAAAGGGCTCTTCAGCCTCAAATTCCTTAAGTAAGCTTCG